TCCTCTCGCCAGCTGCAGCCTGGGCACAGCACCAAGACAAACCCTGTCTCCTGTCCACCCGCCTGGGCCAGCCCTCCAGGGGGTGGAGTAGGGTGGTTCTTAAAGGGCCCAGTACAGCACCCTCTCCCACTCCGGCAGGGGTTCCCCCATGATGAGAGGGGCTGCGGTTGATGCCAATGTGGCTGGAGAAGCCCGTTTCAGAGGAAGAGACTCTAGTCCTCCTCCCCCAGTCAAGTACCCACCTTTGCTTCACATTTTCTGTGTGTTGCCACCTTGCAAACTAGAGAGGGATGGTGGGGAGAAGAGAGGGGTTAGCAGGCACATACTGGGGTAGCCCTCCCCCATCTCCCCAGGCCCTGGAACCAGATCCTGGGGCTTCCAAGACTGTTGAGATGAAATGGGGGAGCAGGGGCAGAGTTCAAGGGAAGTGTCAGGCAGCGGGGTAGTAGCTCAGGCCAGGGAGGGAGGGGGCAAGGGCTAATGTTCCAGGGTGACTAGGGGTGAGGGGGGAGGGAGGGAAGTCCCCATCACAGGTCCACTGGGGAGGCAATGGAGAGGACTGGGTCTCCTGGGTTGGGGCGGGAGTGTCCGTCATGGGGACAAGGGCTGTTTGGAGGGGAGGCAGCTCCCCGTGACGGACACCCTCTTGGTTCCCATGCTGTCCAGGGGGCAGCGTGCACATTACGGTTTAAACTCTTTGTGAGTCTACCCGCTGGAGTTGTGCACACAATGGTGCTGGGTTAGAGGCTCTCAGGGTCACAGGACAGGCACCTCACCTCTGCATGAGACGCCAGTTCCATCGATGGTCACCTTACACACTGCACAGACTGGTGGTTTCTTCCGGAAGACCTTCTCCCGGAAGCTGTGTGGCTCGGCTTTCCTAGGCTAGGGACGGAAGGACACACAGGCAGAGGTGTCAGTTCCCAGTGGACCCATCTCTGGGACTAGCTGGGGTCTTAGCACTACCCTGGTTTCTTTCTCCTCCATCCTGATAAAGCCCCTAAACTCCTAAGACACACTTGGTCACAGCTGTTTCTTGGCTTTTATGGGGCCTGTCCTTGATGGTGTGTGGAATCTGCCCCCTTGCATCACCCCAGACGGGTCACCTCCTCTCTGAGGGTCACTCGGGACCCTCGTATGGTGTGTGAAACCCTCGCGGTCACTGCCACACCAGGTGCTAGAGCTTTCCTCCTGATCTGGGAGGTGGGGGGGTGCTCTCTGACTTTCTTCTATGAGGGTTCCCCATTTCTCCTCCCATTTTGCCTTCCCCAGATGGAGGTCCCTGTGGAGAGTGAGCAGGAGGGGGTCCAGAAATGAACGTAGAATGTCAGTCACGCAGCACCCAGACTGACCTGGCGGGGAGTGGCCTGAGCCAGTCCTACTCCCCTGGCTCCCGCTGTCCCCGTGCTCCAGACAGCTGACATGCCCTCCTCCCCCTACTGTCAGAACAACATGTTTACTCATTGTGCATTGAGGCGGCAGGCAGCAATTGTGTAAGGAGGGGGTGGTGATGCTGGAGAGACAGGCAGACAGAGGCATGACATTGGGGGAAATGTTCAGCTGCCTTGCTACTTCTGGATGTAGTGAGCACCCTGTCACTTGAGGTTCAAGTGGGATTCCAGCATGGAATGGGGGAAGGGGTGGGCTAGATGCCCTGTTGGGCCTCTCCCCACCCAGAGTGCAGTGAGGCAGGGATGCCCCGTTATGGCCCTCATCCCCCTCCCTCCCACTGTGGGTTCACTCCACTCATCTTCTGTCCATATGCCTCCTCTCCCTTCTACCCATTTTTCTCTTCCCTCAAGTGTTCAAG